CACTAGTGCGGATGCACCCACAAAGCTAGAAATCCAAAAGGTCTTGCTACATCTCAGAGTGAAGAAGTCCTGCGGTGGTGCATAAAATTTCTCAGGAGTTGATTAAGTGTATTTAATTGTAGAGTGCTATGTACTTCAAAGAAAAATTAAATTTTCAACCGAACATGAGGAAGATCACATCATTCATCGAATTTTAAGAACCCTCATACAAGAGTGAAAAGTTTGACATATAACAGGATTTTCATCAGACCGTGGCGCCTTTTTCACCAAGCCACGACTGAAGATGAACCGCCGTACACTTTAAAGGTGCCGTCACATTGTCCGTTACTGCTTATTCATTGTGTGCTGCCTATTTTGTAGTTAATCTACAAAACTGAAGATTGTGTCACCATCCGCAGCAGGTGAGCGCATGCTCGTGGCATTAGATCTTGTCGCTGAACTGAACGTAATCAAATATTATTAATTGATAGTTATTATTTACATTTCTTAAAGTTTATATGATTTCGCCCGAAATTTCTATACGTCGGGACCTTGAAAATTGACTTAATTTGGCTATATCTAGCAATGACGTGTAGGAGCTATTGTACGTAAAAGTATACACTTCAACCCTTGACGATCTTTAGTGAACAACAAATTTACAGGTTCTTACGATTCTGTATTTACAGACGTACTGCATTTATCACGTACGCACGTTGTTTCAGCGAGGTATCTTTCTATTAATGTCATTCTAACCGTGTATAAAGACATTTGGAATAAAAAATTAATCAACTGTGCTTTTCATGTGCAATAATTAAGTTGTTTTAGGAATAGATTAAATGACTGTAGTGTACGCGGCTGTGTGCATTAAAACCGATTTCTCCTGTTCGAGCGCAGTGCAAGTATCGCGCTTGTTTCGACGATATTTGGTTTGTTAACAGCTGTCCGTGTCTTACGACCATAGACGTCGTTTTTCGCTGTTTCTGAACTCTGCATGGTCCTAAAGACAATGTGCATAAACAGTGGTAATGACGTTTGCTGTTTATGCTTTGTTTCTACTTGCCATATTTCGTGCTCTGCTGACTTTGGAAACGTAACACCTTGTGAACTTGAATTTCGTCCGTTAACGGCTTTGTCAGATGTACTTAAAGCCTAAGGTGACAGTTCGTTTCGACGTCCTCTGGTAGCCGTACAGTTTACAAGTGCTGCACTGCAGTTTTGCGTGTAGCTTAGAACTGTTTCGCTTGCCATAGTCGTATCTTCGTTTTCGCCTTCATTTACATCTACCCAATCTTCGACGTCTTCTTGATGCTGTTTTGCGTGAGGCATATTAGACCGGTCTTAAACGTGTACTTTAGAAGTCGTAAATTTGTATCGCTAGATGGGCAACACCCAAACGCCACCGAAGAGAGATCGCGCGGAATCAATCAGCTCTTCCAGGAGAACGACGACGTTTTCAGAAGAAGACCAGTGTCCGGTTCAGATGAAGATTTCGAAGTCATCTGAAGACTCGCAGCAGCCGTCGGAGCAGCCTGGAGACTTCCCTGTTGTCGTGAAGTGGTCAGGTCTGAATATACGTTTTACTATTATGCTGCTGTGCTTGTTGTCGTGCAGCGTAACTACTGGTAATGTTAGTCTGAACTTTAAAGCGGTGTTTCGTGCCCATATTCACGTCATCGACCACTGCTCCAAGTCTGAATCTGCAGCGTGCTTCCTGTTGTATAACAGACCATTATATGAGGCCCTATGACAGACCTGCTGTCGAACGAAGCTCCTCCGTGTGTAGCTCGGACTGAGTGCCAACATCGCCACGCGTCGCGTTCTTTTGAATGATTCGCAAAGATAGTGAGGTCCGTTATGCCATTGCTCGGTCATGTAGTTTCATGTTGACCGATGACACTGCAGTAAATGTTCATCTGTGTTAAGAGGACTGGCGATACACTTGCTGCACTAGTTGTCCCCTTTCAGTTTTTTTTGCGCTGTTGCAACGAGTTATGACCACCTGCTAACTTGATCTTTGGTGCTGAATTCGCAAAATCCTTTCCTCGGCGAAGACCCCACCATGTACCATGCGTACCGGCTTGGCTACCCATGTCTCTCACTACAGGAAGATCGGAAGTTAAAGAAAGTCGGCATTCGAGACGATAATCTCCCGTTTAATTTAAACTTGTTACTTTGTAACTGCTTACTTCCGTTCACGAAACAAGATCGTCCCCTTAAACCATTGTGTTTTCTATCTTTGCACAGAAATGTTTTTTATACTCAGTTTAGCGGTGTCATACTTTTTTGACATGACCTAGTTTTGTTTATTTAGTTGCTTTAATTACCATGCGCTGTTTATAAATGCAGACTTTACCAACCATCGAAGTGTAGTGTGGTCAGTTGTAAGGTGCTAACCCTTCGATCTTGTGTTCCTTCACGTAATCGTTGTGGCGGTTCTCACGTGTAGCGGTAGTTGAGTCAAGGCTGTTTTGTACGTGATGCACAGAT